ACTTGCAACTGGCTTTCACTGTCACCAACAAAATCACTCTTGCAAGGTTTTCAAAGACTTTCTAAATGCCACATCCTCCTTGGGCCTCTACAGCACTCATCTCAGATGGTCTCTCTCAGGATCCCTTCACTTTTGCCACAACCATCTCTCTGCTCTTCTTATTCTCTGTCTACTGCATTGGTTGCTTGTCTTCCCATCTACCAGGTGGAAAATTCTCCAAGGTCTGATTTTCTTGCCTTCTCTCTTTTTTCTCCATATTCTCTCCCCTAGACAATTGTATTTAATTCCCTAATTTCAATTACCTTGTCCATGTAGATGATTGAGAAATAAGTATCTCAAACCCCAGCATCTCTCTAGAGTTCTGGACTCAATTACCTTTGTTTTAGGAAGAGCTACACCTTCATGTCTGTCCTGGGTTCTCCCAAAAGCAAAACTTGAGGCAAGAAATGGGTGCAGGTAGTTCATATGGGAAGTGATCCCAGCATGTAACAGTGAGTGAGCAGGGAGAATTAGTCAGGAGCAGGAAGCACTGATGTGAGGAACATCATCAGGATCAGTGCTGTGGGCAATGGAGCCTCCATTCCACTGGGACCTCCTGAGAAGTTGACAGATGCTTTCAATTGTTCTTCTGAAGGACTGAAGGTGCAGCATTGATCCCATTCCCCGTTAGCTGGGAGTCTCCCAGGGCATTATGTCCCCTACACTCAAGCTAATCTGTGGGCAGTTCAAGCAATCTCCTAGGTTTTGAAGAAGGTCCTAGGGCACAATGTGGAAAGAAGCACAGAGGACCTCAAGGTGGGATTCAGGTCAAGTGCTGGGTGAGTCTGAGGCCATGTGGGACTCTCCATTACAGCTGTGCTGCAGTCAGAGGTGGATCAAAGGGAGATTGACACCATCAGCATCCTTTCTCCCAAGTTACTCAACCAAATATCAAAGCACAAAGCTGCAGTGACTTCTGACTCTTCACCCCTCATCTTAGTGTGTAGTTATTAGAACCATGTCCTATTTATTCCAAACAGACTTGCTCTCCAGCATTGTCCCATCATGGCTTTCTCATGATTGCCTTAGCACGAGCTTTTTATTGCCATGTTCTGACTGGTATCTATTAACTTTTATCTCTACTGTCTATCTTGCCCCCTTCCAAACTACCTTACACATAGATGCAAGATTATTCTTATCAAAGATAAATTTAAGTATCATAAACTGCTAAGAAATCTTCCATGGTTCTCAATGGATGGCCAAAATGTGTCCAACGTCCTTAACCTGGCATCTGATACCCTCTTTGTTCTGCCACTGTTTCGTCAGGGCAAAAGTGTTATTACCCACCTACCCGTATTTTCTCTCCAGGACTTTTGACTTCTTTACACTACTCTAATTTATTTTTGCATTTATATCTTTATTCTCTCCTTTCCCCCACATAAAATTTTCTAGATGGCAACATGCACTGAAACCATTCTAATCCCACCTGTCCTTTTAGGCCCATGTGTGTACAATATTTATCTCCTCTATGAAGCCCAAATACACATCTACTTCCTTTCTCCTGAACTCCAAATGCTTAATCTCTTCTTATCTTTTCTTCATTTATTATTATTATTAGCAACATGGTTGCATTTGATTTACCTTTTCTCTAGGTAGAGTGTGGCCAGCTCCTTGAGGGTATGGGTGATAGCTGCATCATCTTTGACTCTTCTGTGGCATCAAGCACAGTGTCATGCACAGTAAATGAAGGGAAAAAAGAAGGCAGGAAAGGAGGAAGAGAAGGAAGAGTAAATCTGATATCACACTGAGAAACAAGCTGCACAGAAGAACAAATGCTAGGAGCCAAGTAAGGGCCAGCATATGCTAACCAGCTCACCTCTCCAACAGACTCCCACCTCCTTGAAAAGGACTTTATTGTTGCTCATTATCTCACCTGCCCTTGCTGCTGAGCGCCCACCTGGAGTCAAGCGCCTTCTGCCTGAGACAGCTGTTTCTGATGTCTGGGTAAAGGTTGTGTAGACTTCAGCTGGGGAGAACTGGCAGGAGGAAGGATACCCTTTCCCAGTTACAGATGGCAAAGGTGAAAAATACATAAAGAAAACATGCCAACTGTTTCCAAACCACCCTTAGGTGTGTCAGCACAATGTCCACAACAACTAGGTGAAATGAAAAAAGATGTAAGTCAAACATGGTTTTTACTACATAATGTTGAATACTTGGTTTCACTAAAGTTGTAGCTACCCCAGACTGTCAGATTGCCTGAATCAGTCAGTATGTTTTCACTGTCTGTCTGTCTGTCTGTCTGTCTGTCTGTCTATCTATCTATCTATCTATCTATCTATCTATCTATCTATCTATCATCTATCGATGAGTTTTAACCAAATCACCAGTGTCTTCCAGCACCATAGCAGGATCAATTGCTAACCATAAGTCTTCAGATATCCCAAATGACTGGTTGATTTGGTCAAACATGAGGCTGGACTCACCCATCAATGACATGACCAACTCACCTGTGACTGGCTTGGTGCCGAGTCAGCCTCTGTCACAGACTAGCCACACTTAATTAAATCAGCAGTCAGAAAGATTCCACTGCTTCTCAGTTCCCTGGCCCCATGAATGGCAGAAGGCCAGAAATAGGGCCTGTGGGATTATTCATGAGCGACAGCCAATCACAACCACCCAACTTTTCCTCCTTACCTCATGTTCCCATTAGAATAGAGATAGGCTTTGATTTTTATTCCCTCAATATGCTTTGCTTAAAAACCAACTGGCCCTAGGAAACACTAGAAAGAGATGGGTATTATCTTCAAGGACTTCCTATTTTCCCTCTTACATCACCTTTCCTCATTTTGGATCACCCATTCCAGTCTCCTGTCCCTGAAAGCAGTGTCACCTACTCTAATGTCAATTTTATAATCATACCTCTCACTCCTTTCCTGCTCCTCTTTTCCTTCCATCCAAACTACCTACTGTGTGTTATCATGCATCCATCCTTTCATTTATCCATTTAGAAGATAGATACTGAGCACCTATTATGTGCTCAGATAATGACCCATTGTGTTGGAGCTGGGATGCATGTGGTAATATGCTCCTTTTGAACATAATACCTTAATATAAAAGAGTGATCCAAGGGGTTGGATTACAGACACTATGGCAGACCCAGAGATTGAGAGTCACTATATGAGGACAGACAGGATTTTAATGACTTTCTGAAATTAAAAAAGCAGTTGATCTGTCCTCTGCTCCTTCTTTCTTTGCTCAGAAGCCTGGCCTTTCCCTTGCCATTCAAAGAGGACTTTGTGCAACATGAAAAGGATGAAGGTTCGCATTCTCAAGGACATTATGATTGATGGGATTCCTTGACTTACTCATCGTTATAAACTTGAATGAAGGACAGGACCATACAGAAAGTGGATTGGTCTCTTCTTCCCCTCCAGGAAAAGCAAAAAGTACAGCACTGCCCAGGCCAGCAGTCCTAGCCATAGCATCTGTTCGTGGTGTCCTATCTGTCTTGGAACCCAACGAGTCCACCATGTGATTGATGGTGTTCCACTTGATAGGGAACGGAACGAGCAATGATTTGTCATTCACCATAAAGTACTGCTATTTCATCTGCTCCCATTCCCTGGGACACAGCTCTGGCTGTTTGCTCTATGCATCAATTTATAGTTTATCCTAAGACTAATGATGTTGTGTTTACGAGGCAAGGTGGGGCTTTGTTTTTGTGTTCTACCAGCAGAGGATTACATTACTGATTGATCGCACGCGGTTGTCTGAGGCAAAAACATTTTGAATTGATACCTGGATTTGAACTACAATCAACTTCCTCGACAATTGCCTCTTGGTGCTGAATAGATCAAGGAGCTGCAGCTTTCTAATAGGGCCTCAAGGAGATTTTGACAATCCCTGTTTGAAGTGAACAGTTTGTTGAGGTGTATGGGAGGCAAATAGATCATCCAAAGGGCTGGTCTGTGGCTTTCAGGAGCCCGAGGACATGCTCTAAGACCCCACTATTCCAAACAGCTGAAATAGGCAGGAACAGCCGTTTGCTGGTATATGTTGAACAATCAGTTCTCCTAAGCAGGGTGGGGGTGGGAATAGACCTAATTTGTAGCATTACCAATTTCTCTGGTGTAAATATTCCTACCATGGCCAATTTCAGGCTACCAATGTGATGTCACTGAACACAAATTTGGGAAGGGAGGCATACCAGTAGCTCCAACACACTACTCGACAAGAACTAGTATTTATTTATTATATACTGTCCTGTTCTAGGAAATTTTTTTTCTGATGAGAAAAGTAGGGTCCAGAGAAGGTATGTAAGTTACCCAAGGTCACACAGCGATAAAGTTGAGTCTTCTCATGCTGTGGCTACACTCTTTTTGTTATCTCCTGTAGTCCAGAGTGTGGAACTAGCAGGTAGTAGGGCCAGCTGGTTAACCCCAGGCTCTGATTTCAAGGCCTATGCTCCTTCCGTACACTATGCTGCTGCTACAAAGAATGGTAGGATTCAGGCTGTCCACGTTTGTCTACACTTCTGCCATTTAAGCCTGGTCAGTTCTGCTCTTGCCCAGCTTGCATTGGTGGGGAAATTCAAGTCTGCCTCTGTACTCATCTGACAATTTCTCTCAGCCCCAGGAACTCTAAGGAAAAGGATATAAGTTTTCATGGTGACTCCTGCCTGGAATCTGGAAAGAGACAAGATGACCCCTAGGAGATCCCAGTCATAACAGTCCAAGAAGCCAATTCAACAACCAATTTGCCTGGAAATCTAAATGACTTCCCCTTTGGATTTGTTTTCACCCCTTTTAATTTTCTACCCACTGTCTTTGCTAGTTCATTTCCTTCCTGAAATTCTGAAGCAAATGAGGCAGTGCTGGTGGGGGGGCATGAGCACAGGGCTAGGGCAGTGACCTGCCCTGTGCTCTGTCTGGCAGACTCTGGTGCAGTGCAAAACAGCAGGGCATTAATGGCTATTAATATCCACAGAGGAAGTGCCGAAAGGCCAACCGCATAATTACCATTTATTCATCATATCAACTGGTCTTCAGCTCCTTCCGGCGGCATGTCATATTGTCCTGGAGTGGGGAGTCTGGGGGGAAAGGGGAAACAAAGAGGAGGATCAGCAGCCCTTTCCCCACCACCCTCCCTCCCCTGCTGTGATGGGACTGGGGGTCAAAACGCAGGGCACTGTGGCTCTCTGAGCACAGAGGTAAACAGGAAGCTCTGGGCACGATCTGGGTGGTAGAGAGAAGTGGTCAAGGAGGGCAGCTGCCAACCAAGGGCAGCAATGCCAGGCTGTTCTACTGCTATCTCCTTTCTTAAGAATTGAGCTCCACAGCTGCAGAAGAAGGCTGTGTGGAGCAAGCAGAGAGGGGATGAGACCAGAGACTCTGTCTGCAATTCTCAGCTCCTGAGAAGTGAGTGGATTTTGGACTGCTCATGAGTCCAAGTAATTTCCTGAGGATGCGTAAAAAGGAGGTTATCCAGCCACCCTTTCTGGCACTCACATTTCAGGTTCCTGGGGCACCCTGCTCCTTAATCCCATCCCCTGAGAATGGAGTACTTTGGTTTCTGGGGACTCCAAATCTGGACAGGGATGGTGGGGAAGAGATTAGTGTTGTGTTTTTTCTTTCCCCCTGGTACCAGCTTGACTGGCAGCCTGGGCAAAGAAGAGCCCATTCTAAATGCTCCCCGGGGTCCAGAATGGAACTCATTACATCAAACCTGCTGGTAGCCAGCAGCTCTGCTTTGTGAGCTGTGAAACAAATGTTTATCCACCACTCAGTGCGGTTCAAAGCTATTTAAGGAGCTCAGGGTGTTGAGCTGCAGGCAAGAGCTATGTGTGCAAGGCCAGCCCTGGCACCAAGTGCAGTGGGCAGATCTGGGGACTGCAGCCTCCAGGCTCCCCGGCTGCAGGATTCAACTGAGGGCAGAGCAGTCACAATGAAATGGCCACTTTCTCCTCGTTGCATTTTGTCTTTCATCTTAAGCCCTGTCCTGTCTTTCTCTCATTTCCCTTTCATTTGCCTTCCACGTTTTTATCTTTTCTCTCTCTCTCTCCTCCGATTGTTTCTTCCTCTCTATGCCTTTCTTTCTTTTCTTTAGCCTTTCTTTATTCTGTTCTCCATTTCCTTTTATTCTTTCATTTTCCACTTCTCTTCCCTCAGATAGGCCTGTGGCTCCCTCATTATACTCTAATATGCATTATTCTCTGTCTCAGTGATGAAATCCACAAAATGCACAGAAGAATAAAATAAAGCTAAAGCCTTTACCTGCACAAAACCACAATCTAAGGAAAAGTTGGCACAGTGTGAACCTAATGCGTACTTAGGGAAGGAAGAGAGGTCAGCAACAGAGCGTGCCCAGTGTAAGTTCCAGGAGCTTTTCTGGAATGACATCAGGTGCTGATAATTCCCTGTCTATACATGCCAGTGCCTCCATGTAGTAGCATCATGTGCAGTGTTTTTGTTTTTTAAAGAGCTGTGAAGATTACCAGTCACAGGTGAGAAAGCTGCAATCCGCGACACTGGTTTCCAGAGTCTGGTGGAGGTGGCTATGGAACTTGTGTATGAGTCGCTTCTGTTTTAAGACAAGAGGTATTGGTGAGGATACCCAGAGAGTGCAGAGGAATGAGGGAAAGCGAGGTGGCAGTCCCCACCAGGGGCTCGACATCTACATTTTCAGTGATTCCTCATTCCTTACTTTACAACTATTGTAAAGTAAATGTTGTGTTCTGACTATCTACTACCGTATAGCACACCACCCCAACAGTAGCTTAAAGATAGAACCATCTTTTATTTTGCCCTGAAATCTTGGAGCTGCCTGAGCTTGGCTAGGCAGTTCTTACTTGGGAGGGTCTGTCTTATAGTTGTAGCCAGGGAGTAGCTGGGACTGAATTCATCCTTAAAGCTTCTTCAGTACATGTCTGGAGCTTGGGCTGCAAAGACACAGACAGCCAGGGCTCTCGGGCGTCTCACCTGTTGTCTGACGTCTCTCCAGGGTAGCCAGGGATCTCACGCAGCAGCAGAAGGCTCCCAAAGCAGGTATCCCGAGAGAGACCGGCAGAAGCCAAAGGTCTTTCCTAAGCCACCCTTGGAAGTTTCATAGCATCCCGTTCACTGCATCCTAATTCTTGAAGTCTGTCTCACAGTTTATCTCGGACTTTCAAAGGGAGGAGACCTAGATTTTGCCTTTTGATGGAGGAGTATCAAAGAGTTTGCAGACAGGTTTTAAAACCACCACATGTTGTTAAGCTGTTTTTTTACCACCCAAGGTTCAGGTAGTTATCCAGTCCTGCTGTGAAGTATTGCAGTGGTTAAACACAGATGTTGCAGCCAGACTGCTGGGCTCAAGTCCCATATTCGTTGTGTACGAAAACTATGATGTTGCACAAATCACTTAATATTTTGAGAATCAGTTTTCTCATCTGTTCAATGGCGATAATATTCCTGACTCACAATATTGTTGTAAAGATTAAATTAATATATATTAAATACTTAAAATAGAGTCTTACATCTTGTTGGCATTCTACAAGTATTTGTTATTTTTATTTTTATTAGATTCCCATTTTATAGATGAGAAAGCTGAGATGCAGAGAGAGAGAGAACTGATTGGCCTCTGTCACATAACTGGAATTCGAACACAGTCCCAACAGATTCCAAAAATCCTCTCTGAGTTCCTGATAGCAGCACCTCTTCCCTCCTATACAGAGCTGCTCCCAACTTTAAAATCCCTGTAAGTCTAGAATTTGGAATTTATAGGCCCCCAGGCCTTGGAAGAAGGTCCCCCAGGAGCTAAACTCTGGACTTGTGACCCACCTTCACCCTCACCATTTAAGTCCAGTCACAAAGAACATGCATGGGGAAAGCAAGGTCCCTACTCTGGCCTTCTATGCACATTTCTGACCCTTAGGGGTTAAAAGGGTAGACATGTAAGAGGAGATGGCCCCAAAATACAGAAACAGTACCTAATAACATTTGCAGGCAAAGGAAACAATACTGGATCTGACTTCAAAAGGCAGTTTTCTGAGACTCTCAGTTTTGGTTCCTGTCTCTGTAAAGAGAACTGTACTGTGCACCACACGGTTTTTACCAGGATCATGTGAGAGCCTAAGGGAGAAAGTCCCTGGTAAACCACTGGGTCCTGGCCACCTGTCAGTCATGAATTGAGCCCAGCAGAGAGCAAGGTGATAGCCTTGGACAACTGCCCTGCTTAAGCTGGGACATGGTCAGAGCAGCCCTGATGTGGGGAGAGGGCTGTCCTTTGGGCTGTCGCAGCCTGGGCTGGTGTCCAGTCATGGTTTCAGATTGCCCGTGGGCCTCTTTGACAGGCATGCACTGTCTGGAGCTTGGCCTGCACATTCGAAAACACACAGTTATGAATGCACGCAGTCTGCACACTGAAATGTGTCTCCCACATGCATCTACACACACATAAACACACACACTATCTTTGTCTGATGTCCACCCCATGCAGAGGTGCTTCAGATAAACACCTGTTGCCTCCTAGGCCAAGATGAGGGCATGGATGCCCCCACCCTACCCTCTGAGAGCCCAGCATTGCCTGAGGTCCCTGAGGCCCCTGCGGGAGGACAGACCATCTTCTTTCGGCTTCTCGAATGCACAGCTTCTTCTCAGCGTCCACTGCCATGCAGCCTCCAGCCCCCATAGCCACAGGAGCCCAGCTCCTAGGTACGCTGCCTTGTACTTAAAACAGCCTCTCCTTGATCCCTTGTAATCTCCTGGCTTTTCCTCCTCTTTTCCTTTTTCTGCTTCTTTAGCTCCTCCTTTTCATCCTCTGCCACTGTCTCTCCATGGAAGCCTCCAAAGGGCATGTGAGCCCCTCCCCAAGGCCTGAGGCAGGAGCCCCTCTTGGTCCCCATGGAAGGGGGCAAGGGAGGAAAGGAGGTGGGGAGAGGGTCTCTGGAGTCTGGGGCACAAGCAAGTATCTGAGCTGAAGGAGTGTCCTGCTTCCCAATTCCAAATCCTGAGAAGATAAACTGAAACACCAGAAAGCACAAAGCACAGTAGCTTAAAGGCAGCAACTTGGAGGGGGTGGCCTGACCTGGCTCCCTATCCTCACACAGGAGGACGGCCAGAGTGGGTGGGGCTCCCAGACATACACCCAGAGTGCTGCCTGTTCTCTGCCAGGAGGAATATTCTCCCTGAGTGAATATTCTACTCCCTCTAGCAGGCACAAAGCTCAGGCTTTGCCATGGGGTGAGAGTGTGGGGCGCGGGCTGGATAGAGAGCTGATGATGTCCCTGTCCACAGAGGCATATGCATGGCCCAGAGCTGCAGGATCCTGCCTGGGGGAGTCTGAAGCCCACCACCGAGTAACATTTCAGGGTTTTCAAATCAAGTCAATCCTATGGGTTAGCTAGGGCAAGGACCACCATGCCATTTGTTAGATAAGGAAATTGAGACATAGGACTCAGAAGATTCACTACAAAGTATTGCACCATGAGGTGGGGGATGAATGACCATTGACTCATCACCAAACTACTCTCTACACTAACTTTATGGCAATTCCTTGAGCTCTTCTCCTTTACATCCTGGGAAGTCTGCTCGTCAAGGGGCTCCTAGGAATAGAAGAGGGGATCACATTTGGTGGCTCTTGGCTCTTCCTGAGGCCATGCCTGTAAGCCACTTTCAAGGCTCTGTTGACTTTAGCATTAATGAAATGAGCTCTCCCATGCAGGGCATATGTGTTAGTCTGTTCTCACACTGCTATAAAGACATACCAAGACTGGGTAGTTTATAAAGGAAAGAGGTTTAATTGACTCACAGTTTGGTATGACTGAGGAGGCCTCAGGAAACTTACAATCATGGCAGAAGGGGAAGGGGAAGGGGAAATAAGCACTTTCTTCACCAGGTGACAGGACAGAGAAGAGCAAAGGAGGAACTTCTAAACACTTATAAAACCATCAGATCTCGTGAGAACTCACTGACTCTCATGAGAACAGCATGGGGGGAAACTGTCCCCATGATCCAATCACCTCCCTCCCTCGACAATTCGGGATGAGATTTGGGTGGGGACACAGAGCCAACCCGTATCAGCATGTGTTTTCTTTCCACCAAGTGCTTTTGCATTCATTATCCACTTGGTCCTACCACATTTTTGTGGAATTGGTTCTATTATTATTGCTTTACTTACTACTACTATTATTTCTATAGTGCTTCAATAAAAGAAGGCTCATTGAGTTTTGGGAAACTTCTCAGAGTCCTAAGAGAAGTATGTGACTGAGTTGGGCATTGAATGATGGCCCAAAGAGGAGGAACCCCTGCACGTCCAACACACACACACACACACACACACACACACACACGATGTACTTTGGTCACTCCTTGGCTTACAAGCCAATAGATCTCTCTTTAGATTTCCAGAGTTTTAGAAGCTGAATTTTGTCCACAGTTGAGTCATGGCCAGCTCCCATGAAGCCACATCATTCAGGTCATGGGGCTTGAAAGGCCAGGAAAAGCCACCAGTAGCCACTATCCTGCCCCTACAGCACACTTCTGCACATGCACACACAGACACAACCCCCCCCCCCGCCCCACACACACATACACGTCCAACACATACTTGCTCTGGACAGGTAGAAAGGCTCTTAGCTCTCTGCTGTTTTTTTCTGTTCTTGAGAATTTTGGCCTAATGAAATGGATGCATGCATGAGGAAGACCAGAGTGTGGGGTAAGAGTAGAAACCTCTGGGAAAAGGATAATACCATTTCAGCTTGGGCTTTCCTAGGAATAGCTGGTAGGGGCTTTGGATGTGAATGTGAATCATGTTTCTACTGCTCAGAACCCACTGTGGTCCCTGCAGGAGTCTCCAGAAGTTGCCTTTAAGTTCCCTGAGCTCCCCTCTCATGTGCTTAAACTGTAGAAACTCTTTTAACCTCAGACAATAGAGGGAATTCTCCTTATAAGGTCCCTGGTCAATCATTATCCAGTCCCTGTTTAAACCCTTCTAGTAACGGGGCTTTCCCTGCCTCATCTCTGACCTATGTATGAGTAGGCATGTATGATGAATGACTACCAGCTGTTTCTCTGAACTTCTCATCCTGAGACACAAGGGGAATCCCCTCCAAAGTTCCCTCTGTCCAAAATTCTCTCCCAGGAGCCTCCTTCAGTTATGAGACATCCCACCAAGACATAGTTATAGCTCCACAGGGCTACCTCAATGTGCAAGGGAAGGACTGCAGAGTAAGGAGAAAGAAGAGAGGAGAGGGGAAGGAAGAGGAAGCAGACCTGCCTCCCTGTCCCTCGATGTCTTTTGCAGCTGGAACTTGTTGGGGGTGTGGAGGGTGGGAGGTTCTGCCACAGAAGGAGATTTTGCAGCCTCACATGATATTGAGCAAAGATGGATCATCTCCAAGTAGATCACCCCTGCTCACAGGTTCTTCTGGGAAGTGGTACAGTGCAGTGGCTGAGGGTGGGCTTGGGAATCACATGACCCTGGCTTGGAAATCCAGCCTTGCTGCTTACTTAGTTCTACAAATTCTCTGAACCTCAGTTGACTTCTTTGAAACATAGAAATAATACTACTACATTATGCAGTCGTTGAGGATTAAATAAGATAATTAATGTAAAGTGCCAGGCACATGTTTTGAATGTAGAAGGTGCTCCATATGTAGTAATTATTATTATTAAGCCCAGAAAGCTCTGTCATTCAGGAATAAAAGACTAATAATAATGATAATAGCTACATGCACTGGCTCACACCTGTAATCCCAGCACTTTGGGAGGCTGAGGCAGGAGGATCACTTGAGGCTAGGAGGTCAGGATCAGCTTGGGAAACATGGTGAGAGCCTGTTTCTATAAAAAATTAAAAAAATAGCTGGCGGTGGTGGCATATGCCTGTGGTCCCAGCTATTCGGGAGGTTGGTGTGGGAAGATCACTTGAGCGGGGGAGGTCAAGGCTGTAGTTAGGTATGATTGTGCCACTGCACTCCAGCTTTGGCAACAGAGCAAGACTGTGTCTCAAGTAATAATAATTAATACTACTAATAATAGCAGTGAACAATTACAAGATGTTTATGATGTACCAGGTCTTCTTCTAAGAATCATATCTATTAACTACTTCTAATAACAACAACCTTGTGAGGCCACTACTATTATTTCTCTCATCTTACAGATGGAAAAGCTGAGGTGTAGAGAGCTTTTAAAAACCTGCCCAACTCTATACAATGGGTGGAAGGGTATGGTGGACCCTATGTACAGCTGGGCAATGTTGGAAAATCCTTTCCTCTCTGGGTCTTAGTGACTACTTCTGTAAAGTGGGGGAATTGATCTATTAATATTTTCTGGGTTATCATGAGTATTAACTAAAATGGTGGGTAAAAATGGTCAGGCATGATGTCTGGTACTTAGTACCATTCAGTCTTAAAGAGGAAGACCATTCCAACACGTGCTACCGCATGGATAACACCTGAGGACATTATGCTCAGCAAAATGGACCAGTCGCAAATGAACAAATCCTGTGTGACCCCACTTGCATAAGGCAGCTACAGCAGTCAAATCTGTAGAGACAGAAAGCAGAATGGTGGGTGCCAGGGGCAAAACCGGGAGTCGTTTGACGGTCACAGGATTTCAGTTTTGCAAGATGAAAGAGTTCTGAACACCTGTTTCACAACAAGATGGATATACTTAACACTACTGAACTGCACACTTAAAAATGGTTAAATGGTACATTTTATGTTATGTGTATTTTACCATAATTTTAAAAATATATATGTATCATCCCACTTTTAAAAAATGTGATTGTATTTAGATATATGGCTACGGACATTTATACATGCATGAAAAGAACCCAAACGTAAAGTATTTACTCCAAAGTGTGGACAGAGCTTTTTGTGTGAATGGGAATACAGGTGATTTTCATGTTACATTTTTCATATTTCAATTTTCTATGTTTTCTTTAAGAGCATGTTATTTTGTCATAAAAGTAAAGTCATAGAGAATGAGAGATTTTTAAAAATAAATTTAAATATATATATATATTATTTAGTTATATATTTTTTTTTTTTCCCACACAAGTAGTGTTAGGAGATTTGTTACGGTCTGAACACCTGTGTACCCCCAAATTCCCAATTCATGCATTGAAATCCACAACCTCTAAACTGATGATTTAACTGGGGCAGAGCCTGGGAGGTGATTTTGAGCCAGATCATGCAGGCAGAGCCTCACTGAATGGGAATAAGGCCTTATGAATAGGGCGATCCAGGGAACTTGCTCTCTCACTCACCACTGTTGTGAGACATGCTGAGAACGTGGCTCATTCCCGCAGGAAGCAGCGCCTCACCGACACTGGATCTGCTGGCGCTTGATCTTTGGATTCTCCCCATCTTTGTATTCTTGTGTTATTATTTCTTATGTTTTGTGTGTGCGTGGTGTATGTGATGTTGTGTTTTTGTTGTTATATCTTTTTTCTCTCAAAAGTATATAGTCAGTACTTAGTGTGTGCATGCGAAGCATTTCAGAAACCAGATCTGGACAGGAGGATAGACAGGAGATAGAGCTCTCTACTATATATATAGTGACTCTATGATGTTCTGCAGGTTGTGTAGAACTGTGGTGCTTTGGGCTGGGGCGGGGCTCACTGTGTTGTAATACAGACTAATTGGAGAGGCCGAGGCGGGGTGGTACGAGGTCGCAGGGTTCAAGGTAGCTCGCCAAGTATGGTGAAACCCCGTCTTACTAAAAAAAAAAAAAAAAATTTAGCAGGGCATGGTGGCAGTGGCACCTGTAATCCCAGCTACCTGGTTTGTTGAGGCTCAGTTGGAATTCTATATAACTGGGGGGCGTGTTTCTAGTGTAGTTGGTTGATCGGTTAGTTCTTTTGGGTGTATCAAGCTAGGACTCCATCTCAAATAATAAATAAAATAATTTTTGTTATAATAAAATATAGAAAAAACCTCCGGGTGTCTGCGACATAGGCAGGCAGTGTTTTCATATTAAGGGAAATAGAGGTCTGGATGAACTGTGGCAGAATTGGATGGTTTTCTTCTGGGTCAAAGGTAAAATAGACAGCCTTGGAGGAGTATATCGGGAGAAGCGGTTCAAGGTGAGGAGGGGACATCTTTAGTATGGCACCACAGAGCACCAGGCACTTGTGTCCTTGAATCTAGAGAATCCAGAAGGTGGCTTCTGAACCTCCTCATACAGTGGGGAGAAAGGTTGTAGGTTAACTGGCATTTAGGAGGAGGGCTGGTGCCCTTTGGGCAACCAGGCACTTACTAGGAGCTGCCTGGCATGGAGCCTCCCCAGGGCCTTGGTCAGACAGACGCAGGCTCCAACTCACGCCCTTCCTCTCTGAGAGGTCGGGCTGTGGTGGAATCAGGAAAAGAGAGAGAACATGATATAATAAATGGAGAAATGGCCATAGGTCAGGATGCCTGGAGCACAGGAGGCTGTAGGGGAGCCCAGGCACCAAGCGGAGGAAGGGGCCAGACAGAGGCTAAGGCCTGAGGAGGGCCTGTGCTTGGCTCCCGAACCTGGTTCCCCCAGTAGCTTGGGGTGTCCCTGGAATGAATATGGACTGTGAATGAGATGGTGGTGGAAGGGCACGGTGGGTACTACATACAGCTGGGCAATGTTGGAAAATCCCTTACTCTCTCTGGGTCTTAGTGTGTTAACTGAAATTGTGGGCAAAAATGGTCAGGTATAATGTCTGGTACCTGGTAGGTGCTCAAATAAATGTGGATGTCCCCCTCAGGGGGTCTTCTCTTCTTTTTCACCTTCTGGGCACTCTTTCTCCATTTCCTGCTGGAACAGAATG